TTCTTCTCCATCTTGAATTACAAGTCCATAATTTCCTTCGTACATGAACATTTCTACTAAGTTTGCTTCTGCGACAAAGGACCTATGGTCTGCCTGCACCATTTCTACTTCACCCTTGTCATTCCAGAAAATCAGGCATTGGTGGAGCGATGAAGGTATGCAACGACTCCCGTGAATCCAATCCCTTCCTAGTAGTACGTTGTAACTAGTGGACCATCTATCACAAAGAAGACTGTGGTCCTAGTAGTTGTTCCCACAGTTATGTCCAATGGCATTACCCCTTTAGATGAAATTACTCCCCCTATTGAAATTTGTGAGAATAACTTCTATTGGGATCATATCGCTTTCTGTCTTTGCAAATTTCCTCATCATCCTAGACGGGATAATATTTATGGCTACTCCATTATCAACGATCACCTTTGCCACAGGTATGCCATTGACCAAAGCCTTCACGTACAATGGCCTTAAATGTTTGGTTAACTTTATCGTTGGTCTCTTAAAGATGACTTCTTCAACTGCATCGATTTCCACTTCTTGTTTGTCTTCCATTGAATTATCTCTTTGTGATAAGTGAACGTGCAATATTTTGCACTGAGTTTCTGCTTCTTGGAATTCCTCCTTACTTTTCTCTAGTGCTCCTTCTTCGGTTATCCAACCTATAGGGGAGGCAATATTCTTAGAGGTGACCTATATTTTTCAGAGAGAGGCACTCTCTTCTTTCTCTTGGGTGTCCTGTATAACACATAGTAATCAAAAGAATGCTCAGATGGTTCTCCCAACAGATCTACCTTGCGAACACCTTCCCGATGTAGTTGTTTCAACAAAGTATCGCGCAACACTTCTCTTCTTTTTCACTCTGCTTCTAAATCAATTTTCTTTTCAATGTCAGTCATGCAATCATCCTCTTCTTCATCATATACCTCCCGAGATGTTTGGCCTTCTTTACATTCCAACACACAGGCTTCCTCCTCGTTATCTTCTCTTTCATCCTCTTCATTTTCTTTATTTTTGAATTCATTGGCTAGTAAATAGGTATTATCCATAACAGGAGATAATGTTCCAAACTGAATAGTGAGGGGTTGCTCTGGATCTTCTTCATCCTTCTTCCCACGTTCAAATTTTGATCTCCTGGAAGAACTTTCTGGTAACTCTTCCATTGATTCACCCATACCGGCCTCTTTATTATCTTCAAGAACATTGTTAGCCACCTTAAGCAACTTAGGTGCCTTAGGACATGGCAATCCATGTTGTTACATAATCATTCATCCATAGTTCCGTTGAAAATGCCTTTGTTGGGTTCTGGTCATCTCATTAAAAGGTACAACCCTTCCTACATTATACTGGAATGAATGTCATGCATTTGGTTGACGAGGTTACGGCTTGAATGTTCTCCCATTATTTATCGGCCTGAATTACCTCTCAAAAGGCGGTCCTCTATAGAATGATGCACACCGTCCTCCACCCGGCTGGATATTTGGGACAATATCAGGGCGATGGTGAAGTCGCCACACTCCTGGTCTTTCTATGTTTGCATTCATTTCTCCCTTGCATCTCGCACACAGGATGCTTCCTTTCTCTCCAGGCTCCTTCCCTTTAATACGTTCAAAAACACTAGGATGTGACCCAGAATCTTCTTCTCCGTCATCCACAACCAACTTGAATCTTGACAACTTGTTTTTAAAACCATCCGTCACCATGTTCACCCCAAGTGGCTGTGGAAAAGGATTTTCATCCACTGTCATTTTCTTCTTAGCTTCGAATTCGATGGCATCCCGTAACACATGACGAAAGACCGAGCAATTATTAGTCATATGCGATTATGCATTTTGTCATTTACAATATTTTTTACCCTTAATTTGTTCAGGGTCTAGCAATTTATGCTGTCGCTCAACTTTATCTGCTTATCCTTATATAATTTATCGAATATAAGGCCAACTTTGGTCACATCAAATAAGAATACCCTAGCATTTTTGTTTTCGTCATTTAGAGGCTCATTATTGCCCGACGTCCTGGATTTGGCCATTATGGGACAAGCATATGCATCTCCCTTAATCAATTCGGCCAAATATACTTCTATTTGATCATAATATTCGTCATTAACAGTATGAACATCGAAATTTGGGTCTCTATAATAAGTCCCCTTGCTATAATTTTTTATTTGTTCTTCTTCTCTTATCAGTCGTTCATACCTAATTACGTTAGCACTTAGTTGAAAAAGGTCAGGAAATTCCATGTCCTGGAATTTTCTTTTTAAGTCAAAACTCAAACAACTTTGAGCTATTTGGACGAATTCTTTTTCGAACAGAGGTACAAAACATTTGCTCCTGACTGTTTTAAATCTCTGAAGGAAACTTTCTGCCCATTCATTTGGCATTTGACGTAAATTCGTCATGTCGGCCAAAGTAGCTTCAGATTCAGTTTTATAAAATTGAGCATGGAACAATTGTTCTAGTTGTTGCCATGTTTGGACAGAGTTTGTTGGCAAATTAATGAACCATAAGAAGGCTACTCCTGTTAACAAACTAGGGAACAATCTCATTTTGTGACAGTCTGTTACTTTGCCACTTTACAGTGTGAATCGCCATATATGTTCCAGAGTAGAAACTTCTCCCAAACCAGTAAATAAAGAGAATTCTGGTACTTTGTATCCCCCTAGGCCACGGATATGTCTGATCTACCTAATCTGGATATGGCTTTGTGTAAGTTAGCCTAATAAGAGGACGTACCCCAAAAGCCATGATCCTGCACTATTTCCATAATTTGGTTCCTCAACATACCGTTGGGATCATATGGAAGTCCTACAGGTTGGTTCATTGGTGGAATTGTTTGAGGCCTGATGTTCGGTCCTTAGTTTGTGGTAAACCATTATTACCGTTAGCCTGAGTGTTTCCGCCATCATTAACACGCAGGGTGTTCTGTCCATTACTTTGGACATTGTCTCTTGTATTTGGGTTACCCCCTAAGTTTGATATTTCATTACTATTATTCAAAATTGGCATTCCACCATTCCTTTGGTTTGAAGTAGATGGTCCAAAATGTGATTCTATTCCTTAATTCGGATTCAGAACTGGGAAATTATGTCCCACAATCGTCCTGCATTAAAAGTGGTTCCCTATTGGTACAACTGGTTGACACATTTGGCTCACTAACTTATTCATGATTTCATTTAACGTGTTTAGTTGTTTGGCCATGTTGCCATAATGTGCATTTCCATTTTGAGTAAATTTTTCCACATTATGAACATTTCATATATTTACCTATTCAACAACATATTGTGTGAGTTCCCCACGCAATGCACGAATGGTTCGAGGACCCAATTCTGTCATTGGCTCGTAACGACTTTAACTGCTTTGACTATGTCCCTTTGTTCATGGAGTACTTTGCTGCTCCTCATATCGTTCGATCACATACTGAACTACTCATTAGCTTGCTGGTTCTTTATCAGAATTCTTATGAGGCATATTGCTTCAGTTTTCGTATCTTCAAACAATAATATCCCGCCGGTCGTGTCAAATGGTTTAAACGATTGTGTAAGAAACAAACCTCTAGAGACAAAGTCCCAACGATGGGTGCTTTATTTATAAAGATTACAATTAGAAAGACGCAACACGCCTCCAAGGGGTACAAGCATACAAAATAATCCCAACGATGGGTGCTTTATTTATAAAGATTACAATTAGAAAGAAGCAAAACGCCTCCAAGGGGTACAAGCATACAAAATAATTTGAAAGTTGACAATAAGAACTAAACGAAATGAAATTACATAATTATCTGTTTGAGAGTGATTGATTCGGGGTCCTTCCTTCTATGTCTTCTTTTTCTTTTATACTCTTTTACCAGTTTTCCTAGTAAAACCGTTTGAAAACTGCTTGTCGCTCTATAACTACCTACTTGCTTCGTAATGGCAAACGTTTCAAGGAACCGTCGTTTTTAAACTGCTGCTATTACTCCCCTCTTTTAACTGCTTGCAACCGAGATTCTTGGATCGTGAAACGTGATAAGATTGCTCAATAACTGTTTCAATAACCGTCGCTTTAAATAACAACAAGACGCTATATTCGCTCAGATCTTTGGCGTCTGGAAGGCTTGGGCGAGAATAACAACAATAAGGTACTTCACTTGCTTAGATCCTAGGCGTCCTGCAGGATTGGGCAATAATAGTACTCCATTTATGGGCCTCCACTATATTTTACAATGGTCTCATTTGAGCATATCCCTCAAATTCCCTAATTGTGCTCTATTTCTTGGACCATTTAATTGGGCCTCATTTTTGTATGTCAACACTATCACATATTAAAAAAGAAAAGAGAAGGAAAAAAAACACACATAAGGAATAGCAGGCAAATATGTTTACAAGAACAGAATGAGGGTATTTTGGAAATCTAATAACAAAAATAAATTTGAAACCTAGTTAGTGAAAAATCTTTGCATGACACTCACAAGAAACGAAATCTTTGCATGATCTCTGCTTTCTAACAAATAGCGTCATTATTAATTTATTAAAGATTTATTTGATTTTTACGTAAATTTACTGTTTATATGCAGATATGATATATCTGTAAAAAACTATATATATTTAACATCAAATTTATTGTAATGAATGAATGTATTTAAAGAAAAATGTAATGTGATATTAATATGCTTAAACCTTGTATCACATTAGCAATTAAATACAATTTTTCTTCAATATATGTATGAGGTAATTACAAAGAAAATACATGGTGATCCGACGTGAATAATTTTGATGAATAATTAATTAGCAATTTAATTATTTTGGTCAATAATTGATTTTATTTGTGAAACTAATAATTAGCAATTCATGGTGATCCCACATAGACAAATTGAATTTCTGATATTCGTAATAAATAACAAAATCATTTGAATAAATTAAGGTAAAATCAAAACTTACAAAGGGTAAGGTACTATGTTATAAATAGGTAGCTTCTATCTGCACACAGACAAATATACGATTCTTTGTTTTCTATCCATCGAAGAAGCTAATGGCAAGTTTGATAAAACTCTGCGCTCTGCTTATCGCCCAATTCTTCATAGGTAAAAAAAAGCTCGACTCCGTTCCTAATAATTTTCGGTTTCCCATTCAATGATTAGGTAAGAATTTGTTCATAATATTTTTTCGTATCATATATTTCAGGGAGTCGAATTATTTCAGCCACAGTGTTTACCTTCCAAAACAGTTGCAGTAAAACAATCTGGCCGGGAACACTCTCCGGCAATGGCGCAGCCGTTCTTGGTGGCGGAGGATTTGCATTAGCCCCCGGGGAATCCATGCATTTTCCAGCCCCGCCCGGTTGGTCCGGCCGCTTCTGGGCCAGAACTGACTGCAGCTTTGATGCCACCGGCAACGGCAAATGCGCCACCGGCGACTGTGGTGGCGGATTGAAATGCATCGGAGGAGGGGTACCCCCTGCAAGCTTGGTGGAATTCACCCTGGCAAATGGCAATGCTGAGAAAGATTTTTACGACGTGAGCCTTGTCGATGGCTACAATCTGCCACTCGGAGTGCGGCCCACTGGCGGCTCCGGTGACTGCCAATACGCCGGTTGCGTGGCTGACCTGAACAAGAGCTGCCCATCAGAGCTGCAAGTGATTGTTTCCGGCGAAGTAGTGGCGTGCAAAAGTGCTTGCACTGCCTTTAACTCGCCGGAATATTGTTGCTCCGGCGATCACTCAACGCCGGCAACATGCCCGCCTACAAGCTACTCTCAATTGTTCAAGAATGCTTGCCCTTCTGCATATAGTTATGCATATGATGATCAAACAAGTACACGCACGTGTGCAGGAGCAGATTATGTTATCACATTTTGCTCTGCAACCTCATAAATAATTATTTAGTAATTTCTTGTTTTGTCATTTTCTTATTGTTATTAATTACTTTCCATAATCTTAATTAGAGAAATCAATTTATAATTTGCCGTGTTTTAAAGATTTTGTTTGGCTTGGTTTTGTTTTGTTTGGTATGATGATTTTATTATATTAAGTTTTGTTTGATGGAGATTAAAATCAGATAAACGTTGAAAAAATATGATAATAAAATTAAACATTAACATTGGTGGCTTATTCTTTTTGTTAACATATATGATATAACCAACCATTGGTGGTAAGAGGTAACAATGAATTCTAATACTATTCAGTATTTGTTTGATGAAATTTATTGACGCAACACTAGTTTCTACGAGGATTAGACTTTAATTTGAATTGTATCAATTAGCGATCAAATAAGAAAGTGACACACATAATTGTCATTTTATTGATGTCTATTAATATCTACTTGCTTTCCCTGAGGTTTATGATTGTTGATTTGTAGTCAATTTTAATTTATTCTGTAACTTATAACTATCTTTTATCTAGTGTCTATTTTTCTTGTAATAATTATAAAATTTGAAGTTAGATTTTGACTTGTCCATGAGGCCATCTCCATGAACCTCAAATGCAACAAGATGTTTTATCTTTTCCTTTGAATATAGAGTATCATAGACTTTTTCGATGGTGAGAATATCACGATTATACAAAATCGCGTTTCTAAAAGACGTTTATGAAACGGACAACAAACACAATAAAATCAATCTCAAATTTTCTTTATCATATTTGACCTTCAAGGTCTCCAAATCAACGACGATCTCCTTAAAAGTAGTTAGGTGATACTCAAGAGATGTACCTTCAGTGTTTCTAAATCAACGACGATCTCCTTAAAAACAATTACGATGAGAATATAGACTTTTCTTTAGATATAATTTACTAGTAAGACTCCTCGTTATGCATAATTGCTTTAATTTTAACCATAATGCAACAGTTGACTTCTTATTCAAAATGTTATGAAGAATATTATTTGAAAAATGAAAATGTATTTAAAATAGGGCATTTCCATTCCTCCGTTGTTTTCCCTTTAGAGTCCAAGTTGTGGACATCTTGTCAAATCTTAACAACGCGTTATCCAAATCCATTTGAGCGAATACTGCTTGCATTTTTACCTGTCACAAAGAATATTGTATTGCGATCCAATAGTGAAATATCATACTTCATTTTGTCATCACCTAAGATCAGGTTGAGGTATTAACTTGATTAAAACCACGATCTTCTCAAGAATTTCAACACCAAAAGCTCAGATACCAATTTGTTGTGAAACGAAGATAATACCGAATTAATTCAATATCAAATTATTGGAAAGATAAGATATTATAGCCACAATATGAAGAAATTGATCANATTATAGCCACAATATGAAGAAATTGATCACAAAAATAAAATAATTTCCAGAGAATGGAGATTTTTATTAGAATGTGAAGAAATAAAGCTCTGATACCGATTTGTTGTGAAATGAAGATGATATCGAAATCTTCGTAGCGACGTGACAGTGGCACCGTGGTGCCCAATTTTGGATCATTTATTTCAAAACTTGATTTGCAAAATCCCAATGTCATCTTCAAATCCAACATAAATTATAACTCCCAATTCGAATTCCAAGTAGAACTCTAACTAGAATTTTTCAAGTAAACTTAATAGAATTCCACAATAGCATTCCAAATAGAATTTTTCTTAATGTGCACTTTAATTAGAACTCTCAGTTATTTTCAACAAAGAATTCGGTTCACACTCAAATTCTAACAATAGAGTTAGCTTTCCCCCAACTTTCATCCATTCAGTTATCGTATAGATTGCCTTTGGAGGTTTTGGTGTAGCCTGTGCAGAGAACAAGCCATTTGGATTGTCTACAAACTCTCGATCATAGAGTTACTTAAGTGTATAGAATCAGTATGAATAATTTATCTGCTTCTTGTACGTTTCAATGTATTTCTATTTGGAATCTCATTATAACAAACTAAGAATGTAAATATGCTGTGAAATTATGCGATTTCCAGGCAAGAGCTTAGATTCTCGACTTGATACTACTGTAATACCATGATACACGCAGTCAAAAATGCACTTGTTGGGTAGCTCAAAGAAATGTCAAGCTGAATCTATTGTCCTGAAGTAGAAGACAGTTAACTTGCACTATAACCAACTTGCACTGTCAATCCCTTTTCAGCTGTAGGACCCTTCCCTTCCGCGGTATCATAATATTTAAGCCCTTCTACTGCTATAGAAGAAAGTGATGAATAAAGGCTCCCAGTCAGTTTGATCAATAAGTACTTTGATATTTCAGTACTATGCACACGACATATTAAAATTATTTTGGACACATTAGTAAACAAGTAGTCGAGACAGCCTAAAATAAATCAGACTGCAAATGAATTAGTTGTCACTGCTTAATAGCACTAAGACTCAATAAAGGAATTCAAAAAATTGATAAATTAAAAATTTTGGATGAAAATCAATTGATGAAACGTTGTAAAAGGTGACATTAGAACATTTAAAAAATGTTGTCTAAACTTAATTATATTAAACAATTGTAACATTCACTGAATGTTGCGATTGACCCTTTTTAGCAATATTCAATTAATGAACGTTGCCTTTTTAGTATTGCAAACGACTTTTTTTTTTTTTTGGTAGTTTTTGCCAATTGCTTCTTCATTCCCAACATAAACAAATTAAAATAAAATTCTCAAAAAAATGTCTTCCATCAAGGCAAATTGTGAATTGTTTTAATTAATCTGGTTTTTTGATTTACGAAAAAAAAATTAATTTGGTGGGTCATGTGACCCACCAGGACCCCTTGGGTCCACCAATGACACATTTTATAATTCTATAAAAAATATGATTATTATTTAAGCCAAGTAGGGGTATATTCTTATCATTACCTCTCTTTCATTATTGTTTTTTGTGAAACACAAAAGATTAATGTCAAAAATGATGACTTAAGGTTGGGTTTATACGAGAAATGGATACTTGTTAGCAAGCGCGGAGCACATAAGGCCGGTGAGACACATGCCCTAACTAGGCTAGAGATTGCACGAAGTACCCACTCGGCCTAAAAAGTGTGCCGAAATTCTGTAATTTTCGGATTAATTTCAATTGAAGTAACTATATATATATTTTTTGATTTTATTTTATTCAGATAATTTGCTTCGATTTTATTCAATTGGATAATACGTTAATTTGATTTCATTCAAGGTTACTATGTCCACCTCCATTGATATGATTAATGAAATTTGATGGTGTGACAGTCAATCCAAAATGGCCATCCCACGTGTCTGTTAGATGCTAATGTCTCTATAATTTGATTTAATTTCATCAATTAATTATACTTCAATTTTATTCAATTGGATAAGTTCATTTTAATTTAATTTCAGTAAAGGTAACTTCGTCCACCTACGTTGATTTGATTATTGGAATTTGATGATGTAGTCGTCAATTAAATACGGTCATCCTATGTGCTCGTTAGATGCTAACGTGAAAAAAGTCAATTCCATTTGAGATAACTATACTTTATTTCATTCAAGTAACAACACTTCAATTTTGTTCAGTTGTGTAACTACGTGTCCGCTCTTTGCATCACAACGTATGTTTCATACTTAGATCTAAAAATTGAATGAACTGGTGGATATTGAGAAGTACAGGAAAAGATTAGAGCAGCATAGCACCGAGAAAGCCAAAGAATGGTTGTTTCATATTTGGAGTTGTAGAGAGAGGGAGAGAGAGAAAGGGAGATGGGATGCGGTGCGGTGCGGTGCGGTGGGGAGGATGTATAGCACTTTCTAAAAGCATTCGTTTTTTTTTTTCTTTTGTTTGTGTTTAAACTTCATTCATCATAATTATACTTCAATCTATTGTTAATCAAGTAATTTGTAACTCAATTTTGTTTAATTGAATTATTATAGTTTAATTTGATTTTCATTGGGTAAATCCATAATACATGTAATAGAATGTGTCGAAATTTGGGACTTCAAACAACCAATTTCCGAGCTCAGAAAACAACCAAAAGAACACCACCCGACTCCGGCTTGACCCAAAACTTCCTACACTTGGTT